AATCAAATCTCTCACACACACACACACCCCTCCCGCAGAGCCAGGCACGGAGGAACAATCTGACCTTTAAAGTGGCTGCCTTCAGCTTGAAGTTTGTAGGGGAGGCATCACATGGCCAGCTGCTGGTCTCTGCTGGTCACATCGGCCAGAGCAGCGTGCGCTCTGCTCCCACCCAGCCCGGCACCCCCCTGGCATGGCGCCTGGGAACTGTCCCCTCCTGCTTCCCTTCACTAGACTCTGCGGCGCTCTTCACTCCCTCACCCTCGCCAGACGCAGCAATGTTCCGGGTGAAAACTGGACACCCTGAAAACCGGGGAGAAAAATGTTTGCATAAAAAAAAAACGGATCCAGCTGTGACCCCCACCCCTTGTAAATTGTTTGCGACCCCCTCCCCCCCGGGGGGTCGTGACCCACAGTTTGAGAAATGCTGTCCTATAAGATAAAATTGTTATGTTTGTATTAGGGATGTTAAATACTAGTCAACTATCTGATTTCCTCCCCCCTCCTTCTGCCTCTATCAGAGGCAGCAAAGGAGGGAGCAGAGGGGGGACTTCAAAGCCGCAGCGCCACACAGCTGAGCCAGGGATCAGCTGTGTGGTGCTGCCCCTTTAAGCACCACCTCAGCATTTCAAAGGGGCAGCGCTGCATAGCTAATTCCTGGCTTAGCTATGTGATGCTGCTGCTTTGAAACTGTGAGCCTGGGGTCAACTGGGGACTCCCCAACTGATTCTGAGCTCCGTGCGGCATTTCTGCGGAACCTGGGATCAACTGAGGCCCCCAGCTGACCTTGGGCTCTGCATGGCATTTCAAATCGGCAGCACAGCATGGAGCCCCAGGGTCAGCAGGGAACTCTCCCCTGCAGACTCTGGGCTCCATGAGGGCACTTCCGCATTCCTCCTTTGAAGCCCAGTGGGGGCTCTTGTGCATTTCAAAGCGGAAGTGCCTATCGACTAGTTGAGTAGTCCATGGAAATTCCATGACTGCTCGAAGAGTGAATTAACTGCTAGTTAACATCCTTAGTTTGTATAGTGCCATTTTCTGTGGTATTTTGGATTTTCTGTTACACTAGATGTTTTTGCAGAGAGCACAGTGAATTTCTTTGCACAAGTTCAAGGGGTATTTTTGCTTATGGTGCTATGTTCTAGAGATACAGTATTTTGGCAACTGTTTTTATTTATCTTAATCTCACTTGTTTGCTCTTATTAGTGTTTAAATGCTTGCACTCATTCATCTTAGCTAATGAATCTATCCTTATAGTAATATTTTAGTTACTGAGGCTCTTTGGCTTCATAAACTTTGTTCTGTAACTATTTTGTTCCTAGACTACTAGTGTGCCCCTTCATATAACATTTACAAGTCAAGAAAGAGAGAGAGGGGACTCCAGGATAATGGAAAGAGTAATTCTGGTAGCATGCCATTTTGTTACCAGAGATTTTAAGTGAAGTATTGGTGCTAGTAGGCAGAAAAGAGGAGGCATAGCTGCAGATCTATTTAAAAACAGAGGACTGGGCTAGTGAGACAAACTTGGAGACAGTCAATTTTTTAAAAAATTGACAGCAGTACAATTAACATTTACTCTTCTAAAGATCTCTAAAGGGCATTTTATTTTTAGAATTGCTAAGCTGATAGTTTGAGCCTGGAATCCCTTATAAATAAAAACCTCACAGCACAAGTGCATTTCTGTAGCTGTAATTTAAAATATTGATAGATGAGATGGACAATAGAATTGTGAATTTTCCTTCCCATTAATTTAATTTAAACTCCCGCAGAGATTCTAGGGACCCCATAAGCTTGGCTAAGTAGATCTGATTAATTTTCTTGTTTTCTTTTCAGTTACTGAAATCATGAATCCTGTCTATAGCCCTGGATCTTCTGGGGTTCCCTATGCAAATGCCAAAGGAATTGGTTATCCAGGTAAACAACTTAATTTGTATCCTAAGTTTTCTTTTAAAGTGATACTTGTGGATTGTTCACTATAGCCCAGTCAGCATACACTCTAAGGTGACTCACTTACGAATGTTTCCATACCTTTTGATAACTTTCACGTACCAAGTTTATACTACAAGTGCCTTGACTTTGTGTTGTGTTCCTTATGCTAGTTTGAAATCTTAGGGGTGTAACTACATTTAAAATTAACAGCTTGTAGAGAAGCAACTTTATCCCATTGTTGGCTGACAATTTCCCTTTTTTATCCTACAGTTTGTTTATTTGGCATTGGCAGTCTTGTGTGCCACGTATATAAAACCAATTGAGACAGAGTAACAGTGTCAAAGATTAAGAATATTTTAGTGATGCCAGAACTGCAGGCCTCTGTGCATTTCCCTTATTTTCTTTTTTGTCACCCCTGTTCTGAGATTTTCTTTCTGATTCTCATCCCCATTCCTCCTTTCTCACAACCTGATGCTTGGTTTGAGTAGATCTGAAGCCTCCAGGAGCACAATAACCAACAGAAGACCATTAGTTAAGCCTATGCAGTGTGAGACATGAATATATAAATGTTTCTGTTGCTATCAACTGTTTCAAGTGATTATTCTACTACTACATAATTATAGATGAGAGAAGTACCGACCTTTTAGGGCAGAAATTGCTCTGTGCATGATTTTTTTGTTGTTGTTGTTGTTTTTAAATGTTCCAAGTGATAGACTTAAAACTTCTGTTGGAAGTGTCACTGTTAGGCACTTACGTTAGTTTTATCTTGTTTCTTAGTACACCTTTCAGTCATACTAAATTCATTGTTCGTGTTCACATCCTTCAAATATTCATAGATATTTGTATCCCATCTTAGCCTAATTGTGCGTAAGAATAATTAATCTTCTCATAATTAAATTCTTCCAATACCCTAACATTTTGCTGTTCTCTGAAGCCTTTAATTTATCTTTCTTGCACTGAGGTACTGTTGTAATAATTAGGTCTACAAGTTTACTATAATAATGAGTTCAATTGTACGAAGTATATAAGTTTGTAAAGTGTCACAATAATAACCTATACAGATAAATGTTAATGGGGGAAAAAATACAAGAGGCAAATGTAGTCTAAACAAAAAAGTCTATTGATAAGGACTCTTAAGATAATTCTTGGAAAACCAAAGAAGTGGAACTGGAAAATCAATAAACCAAAATTAGTGTGTCAGATATTATATCTAATTAGGCCAACTGTTGCCTGTTCACTATTCCACCCATCTTTCCCTGTTTGTGTTCTTAAGGATTTTATTTTTGGGGGAAGGAAAAATAGGGAGGAACAGATTTAGCCTTCTGTAATGAAAGGTCCCCACGGGCAGGGGACTGCTCCAGCCCAACCAGTGGGGACCCACACTCAGCCTGGCCCCATTTAAGCAGTTAACTGGTTAAACATAATGTTTAACTGGTTAGCTGATTAAACAGAATTTTACATCCTTAAATTCACCATCATGGAGGCTACCCTCACCACCTCCTGGGATAACTGGCCACCTTCTTCCTAATAAAGAGGCCTATCCTGACCAGAAAGGGATCCAGGTGACACCATAACCCCTACAAGTTACCGCTGAAATCCAAATTCCACCTGAGATGAAAAAGGATCAGACTTTTAACTTCATCTCCACTAACAACTTCATTTTTCCAAAAGGATAGTGGTTACCACCTAAGATTCCTAAGCAAGGATTTTTCCTTTTTGAAACTCTTTCCAGGTACACAGAGTGAGACCAGAAAATTGCTGACACGATGAAAGTCATGTACTTTATAATTCAAATGCTTTAACTGTTTTCCCTTTTCTGTATCTCCTATAAAAGGTTAAATATTTTTAATAGTGTTTCCTATGATGGAAAGCAGGCTAAAGTCCTAGTATTAACTGAGGTTATATTAACAACTTTAGCCCCCAGTTCCAGGTAGTGCAATAGTGCTCTCAGCTGAAACTAACTTTCCAAAGGTGATAGACTGCATCCATTGCCCATTCTTCTGCTTAATCTTTCTACTGTAAATATCGTGTATGCTATTATGACCATGGTATTTACCAAATAAAATTATGTTTTTTACAGCCCGGGAAAAACTAGTAAGTCTCAGTTCAAGGCATTTTCTGTTTTAAAATCTTTAATTAATGCACATCACAGTGCGCTTAGTCTTAATTACGTATTTAAATTGTGGTTACATAACACAGTGGATTTATAGATTAATTTAGAGTCGTGCATCTTAAAATGACACTGGATGCAATAGTAATGTATTTAATTTCTAATACTGACTGTCAATATCTATGTACTTTTTGAGTCTGTATTTTCATAAAGAAGTTACGCATTATGATTCTTTCAGTTTAATATTGTATAAACAAAAGTCAGATGTTTCGTGGCAGTAAAATCATAATACATAGTTGTAGCCATGAAGCATTAAGGAATTGGAAGCATACAAAGTTGCAGACCACCAGTCCAGGTCCATTTGTCCAGAAGACTGAAGCAGAAGACTAAGTTTGATGTAGTGCATAAGCAAGTCTGTTTCTCATTTCTGAATGGATGTATCTAGTGTTTGAGAAGATTTCTTCTGTGCTTGTGAACATTGATGTGTTTTCCCAGTTTCTCTCTCAGCCAGGCTTAAGCTGATATTTACCATCACCTGTCCTAGTTTTTCCTGGGAAATTGATCAATATAAAGACAGAGTTCATGTGTGTACTAAGACTTAAGATTATTGCAATATCTTAAAGCAGTTAATCAGTTGCTTTACATATATTTGCAAAGCTGAACAGCTGAAGAAAGTCTTCTTTGAAATACTTTACCATCAGTTTCATTGGCTAGTATATATTGTCTATCTTAATTGATAATTTCTTTCCATTCAGGGTATAGGATTTTAGCCATGATTTAATTCAGCAAGCAGCAAACATTTAAATAGTTGTGTGTTTTTTCATTTGTACTTTAGGTAGTTTGCTAAAAAAGATTTATTTTTGTTAGTATAACTACAAAAGCATTTGAAATCAAATGTAGTGTTTACACCACTAAATTTGGTACTTTTTGCTAACCAGAAGCATACAATATAGCAATATACACTTGTTTAAGCAATTATAGCTAAATGTCAGCTTATTCAGGGTCTAGTTTTGTCATTTTATTCTGTTAGAAAATGGTGAATTGATGGATTAAATCTTAAATTCAACAAAACCTGTCACACTACAATGAGATGTAAATTGTCATTAACTTACAAAATCAGCATTTTAAAAATTTTAAATAAAATTACCTTAAATGTTCTGAATAAACTTTTTAGGTAAAATATGTTTAAAAGTTATTTGAAAAAAAGAAATACTAACTCTAGTTAGAGCAGTGATTTTTTTTTTTCCTGATCACCAAGGGCTAGATTTTTAAAGGTAGTTAAGTACTCAAGATGCAGATAGATGCATAGTGCGATTTTTTCAGAAGTCCCTGAGCAAAAGGTTGGATGCTGAACTCCCCTTCAAATCAGGGGGAGTTACTTAAGCATGTTAGGAACCTATCAGCTTCCCTGTGATACTGATCCCTTTGTGAAGCACTTTGGGATCTATGACTGAAAAAGGTCACAAAGGTTAGTATCTGCACCTTTAGTTCCCTAAATACTCTGGAAAAATCTGGCCTGTGTTCTTCAAGAGTTGGTAGATCACATCCCCTTCCACTTGCCTTTGTTCATAAATTAGAAGAATAAACAAATATTGGTATTCTTTCAGCTGTTTCTTAGTTGTGAGCAAACTAGTCCAAAAGCATTTTCTCTTCTCCTGCAAGCTAAACTGAAGCCAATAGTAACTGAGGCAAAACCTTTAAGAGAAAATAGATACGTTTGGAAAGTGTAGTTTAAAAAGCTGCACCTTATAAATCCATTAAAACTTGATGGACTCGCTAATGTAGCGAATTCTAAGTGATTTTTTAGTAGATATTTAATTAGTACAGGAAGACTTCACCATTCTTGGGGGATGATACATTCTTGGGATCACCGTTTAGTAGATATTTAATTAGTACAGGAAGACTTTATCATCCCCCAAGAATGGTGCATTCTTGGGATCACCACAAAATCCACAAATATTGGGAGTGCAGAGATGTTCCTGATAAAATAACCACATTTTCTGTATAAAACAATGTAATGATGTAATAGTTTAATGTTTACATATAATAATGCAATAAATATATGCAATATCTAAAATTTCCCGGTATAGCATCATTGCATCTTCAATTTCCTCTGTAAGTTTCAGGCTCTGGTACTAGAGTACACTGAAAAACTGTGGTCATGCTGCGTCGTGTGCTTAGGCTGGTACAATGCACTGCGAATATGTGAAACTGCGAATAGCGAGGGCTTCCTGTAACCTAGATTGCCAATTTCATAATTAACATTAAAGACGACACTAACCTTAGAACTCTTACTAATATTTTTCTTTAATGTTTGAATGGATATTTAGTGCCAAGTTGTTGACTGGTTTTATTTAGTTTTGTGTTATATGAATATGGATTTTTTTTCATAGTTCTGTTAATCATTCAGGGAATTAAACAGGATAAATTGAATTGATCATAAGAATGGCTGATCTGGGTCAGACCAAAGATACATCTAGCCCAGTAGCCTGTCTGCCGACAGTGGGCAGCACCAGGTGCCCCGGAGGGGTGGACCGAAGACAATGATCAAGCAATTTGTCTTGTGCCATCCATCTCCAGCCTCTGACAAACAGAGGCCAGGGACACCATTCCTACCCCCTGCCTAATAGCCTTTTATGGACCTAACCTCCATGAATTTATCTAGCTTCTCTTTAAACTCTGTTCTAGTTCTAGCCTTCACAGCCTCCTGCAACAAGGAGTTCCACAGGTTGATTATGTGCTGTATGAAGAACTTTCGCTTATTAGTTTTAAACCTGCTACCCATTAATTTCATTTGGTGTCCTCTAGTCCTTCTATTATGGGAACTAATGAATAACTTTTCTTTATTCACCCTCTCCACACCACTCATGATTTT